GTTATGATTATTTCTTCCTTGATCCAGAAAGTCTCATTCACTGCATATCTTTGCTTGTCACCTGTACTTGTTTCTGCTATGAAAATCATGAGAGAAGTAGTGTAGATTCAGGCTTTTGCTGACTTGTTTCTTAGGACATTGATATGAGATCTGTTTTTGATTTTGAGTTCTGCAGAATCCTTATGTGAAGCAGGGCAAGTCTTGGTCAGTATCTCTATCTCGTAGTTGGTCAACAGGAGCTATGAGTTTCTTTCTTCATCTATCTTCATTCTGCAACAAAAATGCCACTTTTATTAAATGCCTGTTCATTTGGCATAATGTGCCTTTTTAGTTATCAAAACAGTGCAGATGAGTGAAGTTGATATAAACTGGCTACTCTAAGGCTCCACCTGGACTCTGTCCATCAAGCCACTCTCACTTTGTGATTTGTTTCCTTACTGTCTTACGTGTTTATTTGCCAGAATGAAGCTGATGGATTTGATCAGATGGATACTTTTCTGAACAGCAGATGTTTCCCGCACTTGTCCCTCAGCATTCATACAGCTCCGTGTGTCTGGCAAAATTATTTAGTTCTAGAAGCAAATGTCTTCAGAGACAGGAAGATACGTATATGTGCATGCTATAGTTGCTCAGGTGTGAGTGAAGAGATGGTGAGTGCTTTGTCTTTGCATCAAATCCTATTTCTGTTGGATGGTGATAGAAGATCAGTCCAGAGTCGTGGTGTGGAGTGGCTCTGTGTTGGGACACTTAAGCTGTTTTTAGAACTGAACATACAAGGCAGTTTTTGCAGGAAGACACGCCTTCCTGGGCTCCAGTGAATGTATGCCTTTTTATAAGGAAGGAGAACAAATTTGAGAGAGAAAAGTGGGAAGTCTGAGTGCGTTTAAGGGATTAGGGTATTGCTGTGCTTCTACCTCCATGGCCTGTGGATAAAATGGAAATCTCCACCATCTGGACTTTTCAGTTCAGCCTTTCTCAGCAGGAGAGGCTGCATAAGAGCATGTTTAAAACGTCCCATTCTGGTTAGGTGCCAAGCCATGTCTTTCCAGCTTCACAGGACAGTGTGATTCTACCCTTTTGTGCCCCAGCCATCAGTTTGGACAGTTGCTGGAGTATTACCCACCCTGGTTGGTTAGCTACCCGCTTCATCTCTTCTCTATTGAGGCTAAGAAGGGGAATTCAATACACGCTTTTCTTCACTTCTCCAAAGGACTGGCAAATTACCTCAGAAGACTTCTTCTTTTCTTCCCTTAATTGGGCTGAAATACCCTGGCTCGTGCAGACGCCTGTATTGCTCCAGTGAATGCCTTCTCCTAGCTGCCCCTTGATCACGGTTCTTAGATAGCAACCTCATTACGCGCAGGCCCTGCTGCCAACCACTTGCCGTTTAATGAAGGCTGTGTGTGTCCCAGAAAGACTGGCAGCCTGCTAACATGAGCAGATCTGGCTTTTGTGGCAGTGCTGATTCTCGAGGTCAAACAGAGCATGGAGAGCTTTTGATGGTTTGAGGTAAAGGCAACAAGGACCACAAAGTTTGACAGACGTATAAGGAGGTCCAGGGGATGAGATTGATTGTTCTTGACTTGCTCTGTAAACAGAGAGGAAGTAGATGATCCTTCCTCCTGTGCCATTTATTGGGGCTTGCTGGAGCTCTGTTGACTTTTCAAGATGGTGAGAGTAGATTTCAGAGTGCAGCCTTTGCAGGGAGGGAGATCGTAATCTGAGAGCAGCTGTGGGTTGGCAAGATGAGTAAACAAACCGTTTTCATTTATTTGTGGGTAGGTGGTTGGTAGGGAAAGCATCACTTAAAAGTACAAAGCAGAATCTGCATACCTAGGTTATGCTATGAAATCATTGGGTAGTTCTGAACAAGTGAAACACTTCTGCTATGGTTTACCTGTGTGTGTGTGAGTAGATAATATCAAACTTTCATTGTCTTAAGGAGGCCTAATGCATCATTTAGAATGCTTTGAGATTCTAGGATGAAAAGGGCTAGCACAAAAGAGAAAAATGCACCTGAAACTTGAATTTCCTGTTGCAGACACTGCACTGTTTTGGTGAGTGAATAGTTTCAGTGCATGATGGGTGATGCAGGCTTTGTCTTGGCTTGGCATTGAAGCGACCTGGGGCAGCATTATCTCTGATGTGAACTTAGCTGTATGATCAAGCTCAATGGTTCTTCTGATGAATACTTGAATGCTGGCATTTTGGTTGGGCAGGCACTGGCAGGCTTTGAAAGCTTTCTTTTGGGCTGATATGAATTGCACAGAAGCTGCAGGAAAGCAAGCTATGGGCATGCACCATAAAATGATGTAGGAAGGTTCAGTGTGTGCACTCTGGTCCACTGGGGTCTGGGCTTCGTGCTGCTAATGGATCCAGGGTGAAATTTCCACATCCTTAACACAGCTGGGCTTTGCCCTTGCCTGCATCTCCCGAACTTGACAAATAGCTTCCAGATAGAGAATGTGAGAGCTCACATGTCCTTTTCACCTTTCATCCTCTTATTTGAATCCAGCCCTTGTCAGTTACTGAAAATTGTTATCATCTGTTGTCTTTTCTGAGCTTGCCTCTTACTGCTCAGGGTTGCCCGAAAACCCACTCCTGCACTGGTGATATTTTCATCTCTCTCTGCCCTGGGCCTCGCTCCCCAGAGTGACTGAGTCATTGATCTGTGCTGAACATAATGGTTTTCACCACTTCTTCCCGGACCCAGTCCAGAATTTGTCTGTTCCAGGTGTGAAAAGCTGAGCCATAGCAGTTCTTTGTCCCCAAGTACAGTTGGTAGCTTCTTGAAGCAATATAATAAGGAAACTCTTGCAGAAACCAGTTGTGCCGTGATAGAATGAGAAATTCTGCTTCTGGTAACCTTCTGCTATTTTGCTTTTATTTTTCACCTCCAAAAAATACCCGATGGCAGCTGTTCATCCCACACTGAAGCCTCTGACCATCTCACCCCTGCCAGTATTTGGCCATGAAGCAGCCAATAAAACAAATGCTATGCATAGCTGCTGCAAGACAATCCTAGCATGGGAAAGTCAGGGGCTGGAAAAAAAAAAAGTATTAGGCTGGTCATCTAGCAAGGATAAGGATATAGTTCTGCTGCAGGAGGCTCTGGGATTCCAGACACGTACCGTGTGGGGCACAGTAGATACTTCATTTTTTTTCTCTTTTTGAAAGAAGTGAGGAGATGTTCTCTTCTGATTTGTTGTTTCATGGTGCCCTCCATCTGATGTCTGGTTTGTGAATTCAGGAAATTGTAATCTGATGAAGTATGGTGTGGGGAGGAAGAGTGCCTTCTGAGAATGCCCAGGTCTGGGAAGTAGAGAGACTCAGTAACCAGGGAAGGCACGAGGAACCTCACGGTATTCAGAGGAGGTGATTACAGTTCTGTCAGGCAGTAAATATCTTTCTCTGCATCCCGAGTGTTTTCTGGGTGGTTCTTATTCTCTAATCCATGCAAAAACATACCGTAGTGGAAGTGCCTGCATGCTGTCAGGGCTGGATGAATCAGAGCAGAATAGAGTAGTAAGCCATGCAGAGTTTAGCTTACCTGCTTTCTAGGAAGGAGAATGTTTTCCTTTCCTTTCCTGAGGGAGGCAAGTGATGTTGTTACTTCGCTAACAGTAAGGCTTCACCTGCTGTGGTGCCTGCTTCTAAACATCCAGGGCAAGGTGAGTAAGATAAATCATTCTACTCCTAAACTTTTGGCACGGATCAACGTGGTAGAGGTTAAGCAATCTCACAGAATGGCTGAGGTTGGAAGGAACCTCTGAAGATCATCTTGTACAATTTCCTGCACCAGCAGGGCTGAATAGAGACAGTCCAGGACCAGGTCCAGGCTTTTAAATCTCTCCGAGGATGCAGACTGTACATCTGTGTATGGGTGCTTCTGCCTGGAGATCTTTATCTCTTTTTCCCTATATGTCT